ACCCCTTCATTGACACTACGACTGCCTTTCATTCTCATCAGAATGGAACAATGTTTCAAATTTTCAGAATTTATTCACGGATGGCTTTATTATTGATCAGTATTGATTTTATCAGAGAGCGCCATAGAAAAAGCGGTGCTTCAAGTATAACATAATAATAAAATAAACACAATCCCCCCTACTGTGATAATAATGCCCCTATTAAGCAGAAAATAGACTGTATCTATGCCTTTATGCCAGGCAGATTGGTGAGTGCAGTGGCTAGGGCTCGTTTGTGTGAAATATTTCCAAATTTGACAAAGAATTCCCAATTCTCCAAGGTAATTTTTTCCATTATCAGACTTGTCACTGTAAGAACTTTAGCAAATTAACATCCCACTGGCTCCAGCAACATGATCAACTTGTATAAAATGAAGAATGTGATAATGGTTTCAGCTACCGGAGGGGAGAATATTTCATATTTGCCTTGCCTAGACTAGTCACAGGCGGCATTAATATTCTGTCGCTTATGAAAATGCAAATCTGCTCACTTCAAAAGTTAAAGGTTGAAAGAGTTTACGACAGCTGAGGTGTTCAGTTGATGTTCATCCTTGGCTCTTAACAATGTTAGCTAGGGAAATGTCAAAATTTTGAAAATCAAAAGCTTAAGTGCACGCATCCCACCGCAAAATCAACACTCGCAATCCAATAATGTTCAATTTTCTGAAAATCTTGGGTTCTGATTTCATGATTTTGGAAAAGGTCACACAACCTTTTGGAATCTGTCCACTTTGAGTCCATAAATGGCCAAGGAAAAAGCATTAAAGGATGTACACATCCCTGTAATTTACATTATCATATTTCACCTTTAACCTTTGAAACAAATTTTGAACATTCCCATGCACTTTTCACCTCGAAGAAACACCTCAATGGCTGAAGCACACACGCTTGATTTGTTGTTTAAAAGGAACCTTATTGGGCAGATCTTTTTCAAGAAGTATTAGATTAAGGATGGTAAAGAAGGTACAATTGAAACTTGGGACAGATCAGGTGAATGGAAAAATACATGGATGTTTCACCGTGAGAAGACTACAGCAGATACAAGTCAGTGTCAGAAATTGGCACTAGTTCTATAGCTCTTACCAAACTGCCCAATAGTTAAGGTATCATAAGGACCAGTAGAAAGCTGCCATTTTTAAGGGTTTCACTAAATGTTATCATTATAAGGACTAGTGGACTAAAAATGTTACTTTCTACTGCTGCCAGTGTTACAGTCTTTAAAGCATCATGTCGTTAATATTTTCAGGGTTTGTTATGCCAAATAACATTCAGGATCTTAGTACTTTTTTCATAGAGGATTAAGTACAGATTTATTATCCCTGCTTTTCCTGAATTTATTGAGACTGGACTGGTATACCATATTTGCTGTATTTTAAGGACACATGGACAGTTGTTTTTGTTGTACACACAAGTATAAATGAATGATCATAAACGAGATATACATGTATATGTATTGACAACATTTTTCATTTTTTTAACGATCTCAATATTACACTACTATTTCAAAAACATTTTTATTTATTATTACAACTTATTTCGACTTCTACCCATGTTGCGTTGATGTAGCTATGTGAAGGTGACCAGAGCAATTAAATAAAGTAGTTACTGTTTGATGCTTGTTCCTGAAACCATATGAGAATTCAATATTTTCTGACTTAGATGTTTTTCTGAAGTTCATAAGAATCCCTTTGTTTTTCGGTCTATCATACACTTGCTATCATGATGGAAAAGCATGTAGGATTTAATCCTGTTATTCACCCTAGACACGCTATTTACACATTTTCTTCGACAAATGAGGCAATTTTTGTTGAGAGACAAATGGATACAAGTGTGAAGTGAGATTTGAAGAATATTTCAAACAATTACTTTCCAATCCATCACACTGATCAGTGAAGCAAGCTTGTCTAATATCTTGTTAGAGCCATAACGGTGGGAACATGAATCACAGCATATTGTTGATATCCTAACAAGAAATCCAGACTTTCTGGTTCTGGAAGCACTCAAGCTTGATGTTTAAAATGAACACACTGTTGAAGGAGATTACAATTCAGCTTTCAATGTTCTACTCTCATGGTCAAAATAACTGACTACTTAGTCATTACACAAATTCAGACTACTCTGGCTTAATGGTAAATGAAGGTTAAACCCACCCACCCTTATTACCCCTTTGGTTGCAATCTATCCTCAAAACGATACAGGACTACCATTTTAAGACATGCAGGTTTAATGAAAACAAGAAACCTGGTGTCTATGTAGAATTGATAAAAGTGTTGTTTGGGACTTAATTTCTCTGGAGAGACAATTGTCTGGAAAGAGTTGATGAAAACTATATGGCCACAAGACAGCACCCTATCCTTCATATCTAAGAAAGGTATTGTTCTTTTATACATGGTGATTTTATTGTGATTAACCACAAGGCTTGACCTTTGGCTTTGTTGTGAGAGCAGGAAAACAATTTCTTTCTTCCAATGTTCCTATTGACTATGGAAGACATATTTCCTACCGGGTATTCCAACAATAACTGCCATATTCCTCTGTGGATTCACCTTCAAAATTCATTGATCAGTTTAATTGATTTTTATCAATCCTCATTTGGATGCATCCATAATTTATGCTGCAAACCTTGCTTGGATAGGTGACTGTATGCCAATACTTTCAACTAAGATATATTTTATTTTTAATGCATGACTTGTTAACAATATTTTCAAACAAAAGATTGAATATTTGATTTTATGTGATGATGCCTTGAAGACAAATCGATACTATCATTGTGAACAAACCCACAAAGCCTTGAAACAAGCAACTGTGTACTGTGTGTGAAAGTTCTTGTAAATAACTCAAGCTTAACACAAAATCCTTTAGGAAAACAGGATATGAATATTATAAATTTTTCTGTTAGTCTATTTAGAGAGCTTTACAAATACTGAGAAATGCCAACTCAAATCCCATCTGCCATTGAAACATAGGAAGAGTGGTAGCTTCCACCCAAATCAATCCATCCTTGTTTATCAGTAACCTGGCAACCAGAGAGAAATCCACAACATTTCAAACAATTTCTCAACCCTAGGAAAATCCCTACAACAGTATTTTCATAACAACTGCAATTGCGGTCAAGAACTGACCAGATATTGAATCACCATGGCAACCATAGTGGCTGACCAATTAAATAAATATCCTTATAAAGTCCAGCGCATGGCCTGGCCTATTCCCATGAAACAAAATCCATTTCCATCAGTGTTATCAAGCCCCCAGTAAATTAAAGTTCAACTGGAGTGGAAGACATTTCTCCTTCATTATGCTGGGCTCATGTTTACCCGAATTCCCATATTCCAAATACATCCTGTGGACAGTGTCCATCTCATTGCAAATAGCCCATGTCTTGGCCTTTCAAGATTGTTTCTGTTTATTTTTACACCAAACATCTGGATGACGAAAAAAATTACTTCAAATGGAACATCTGTTTCTGTTTAAGCAATGAATTTAAGCTTTTTCATCAACCATGATTTTTAAAGAGAAATGTATTATCTTGTGTTTATGGTTTACTGCAGAATGCAATTTTCTGTAATTATATATATGTTAATCATATGATTTTGTTCTATCAATGATGAGTGAAATGGAATAATATATGTACATGGTTTTATTTAAGTTTGCTAAGCACATGAAATTACATACTTTTGGGGATCAACTGTTTTCATGAATGTTTTCTCTTGATCAAAGAATTATAACAAAACTGGCACCATGGAGTACAATCTTTGAACTCATTTTAACCTAACCAGCAGTGTTCGTGTTAATCAACACTGTTAATTAGAACAACCCATGTATTTCTCTTCAATGTTTTGGTGGTAAATCATGAAAATTTTAATACGTGTTATTGATTAGGCCAATCCTGAATGATTTAGTATTTGGCTGGCCATATGTCCACACTTGAATCGCACAATAGCAAACAATGTCTAATTATGGCGGTTTTTCATTGACACTCCTTGAATCCACCAGGTTGAACTTAGCCTTCATAAACCTAGATTTGATTGAGGTTTCCGGTTGTAGATAGTCAGTGTTTTATTTCAAAATTAACTGTGTCAGACAGCCATCTAATTTTACACATATACTCATATGAATGACAGATGGTGCCATTTGGATTTTACTTTGACATAAAATATTGATTATTTTTTCCCATTGTGTATTCAAATGAAATTTCCAATGAAGGCTTTTGTTACTTCATTTCAACATCGCAGTGTCATTAAAAAAACCTCCAGACTGATCCAAAAAAATATCTAATCTTCAGATCAAAACAAAAGATCGTTTCATGTGTTGGTCTCCATGCCATGCACACTTCATGACAACATTAATCATACCAACTCAAACTATATGTTAGATACCCTTACGAATACAATGGTCCACATTTGATGAAAATGAATCAATTGTGTTTTTGAAATGTCTAACATTTTAGGGTTATAATTCAAATCAATTATCAACCACAACACGGTTGTCCGTATGCTTAACTTACTGGTTTCAAATAGGATCCATGTGGCTCGTCTTCCTATACAATTACCTATTTTCCATACTGCCTTGCAACAAGGGGTACACAAGCATCATGTGCTACATGACAGACAGTGCTGCAGTCTGTGCCATTACCATCACCTGTTCCCACATTTATAGAAGAAACTTATCAAAAAGCTTCACTTGTATGTGCTTATTGAAATTTACCAATGTGCTTGCAATTCCATCATTGTTTAACACTTGCTGTACTTACAGTAGAGGCCACACATATCAGGGTAGGAAAACAGCACACCATGGGGGTCCTTGATTAATAACATTTTTTTTTTACACTTTGAACAGTAACATTTTGAAGATTTATAACCATTATAACACTTTTGAATTTTATATAAAATATATATGTTCCTTACATCTTGTTAAGGCTTGTTTCAAAAGGTGGCTTATAGGTATGTTTATGTAATTCTCACCTTCAGTTCTTGATGTTTTTGTTGTCTGATGGCTGATCAGTCAGTGATGGGCACTGTTCGTGTCTAAAAACAAAACAAGACAAAATGAACACAGAGGACAATAAACCAGAAAATTAAAAGCATTGCAATGGTCACACAGATTTCTCTTACCAATACCTGGTCTTTGGGTGGAGCTGAAGTTTAACAAAGAAAAAACCCTCAATTGTTAAACCCAGATGCAGGCGAATGCCTCAAGTCTATTTTCACCTTCCCTTAACAAAGAATGGAAGATGCATGTGAAACACTGACTTGCTCCAGCCAATGTGCCCTCTATTCAAATCCCTAGCAATATGAAAGCTACTTTCAAGAACAAGCCATAAGATACAGGAAACAGTGACATAAAGCCAGACTCATGTATTGTGTTTCAATTGAGTTAAACACATGGAATTCTCCCCTCGTCCTGAACTATCTCAACTATGTGGAAAAATGGGATGACAATAGGTTCATAAGAAATTGTCTTTGTATCATTTACACGTGTTTTCAGCTCAGCATTTTTGGCATGATAAAGTGACATGCCAAGGTATAGAACATAGATGGTAAAACAAACATTTATATCATTACTACTTCTACATGTACAGCACAGAAAAGACAATGGCTTGAGAGTAGAAAAGAAAAGCAGTGATTATCCTCTCAGTTTCAAATTAAACTGGCTGAAAGGCTGCTTACAAATATTTTTATAATTCTTGCTTAAAATATCTTTAAAAAAATGCAAAACATATTCAGTAAGATAATCTCTAATTAGAAATTTGAAACAAACTTGCATTTACAAATTCAAAACATAGCTGCACAATATCAACGATGATATTGCTCTCCCTGGTTAACTGTTATAGAAACTGTTCTGGAAGCAGAAATGACGTCATGACATATTCGTTGAATCAAAATACAATATATTCCACAAAACCCAGATTTCTGCTACACATAAATGGTTTACAAGTCCAAAATGTCTTACCAATATTGGTAACCAACACCAATGAGTGCCCCCTCCAGACAAGTCACACGACCACATTTTATATGCAATATGCATTATCATTATTTATACTACATATAACATGTTCAGCACAAAAATAGGACAGAATGGAAGAAATTATATCCACTAATACAATTTTTCTTCCTTTCTCCGCGACGTGTAACAGCATTACTCTCCTTCAAGACTGATCATAAAAATTTTCTATCAATACATTCAAACTATGATAAAAATGACCTTTTCCTCCACAGGTAATAAGTGTTTTAGTGGCAGAAAACCTATTTTCTTAAAATGTCTGATAGACCAATTATTGGTCTGGGATGCTGTCTCGATTCCTCTCATGCATTAAATAACTGGCTACCTTTATTGATTTTTGCGTCTATAAAAAACAGCTCTTGAAACACTTGGCTCGAGCCTTACGGGCTTAGACAGTCGCCTCGTGGGTATTTGTCACTTTGCGAGGAAAATGCAGAAAAAGTAAAAATTGCAAAACCATTTGTTGTGTCTGCATATATAATTAATCAATGAAAAATAGCCATCGTCTCCTCTTAAGGAGCCAGCGAAATACAAAATACCAGTCAATTGTGAAACGTTGTCAAAAATTGACAAAATCAAGAGGGCATATTTTGTCGTAGTGTCTGTCTGAGGATGTTCCTAATTAGGAACTGTTTAACAGGTAGAAACTGTAGGGTACTAACTACAAGGGCGAAAAGCTTTCAATCATACTTTGGTATTTATCAATCTCGATTTGATTTTATCATGCATAGGCTTTGGTCAAGAATATATGGCTGAATAAATCGCAGGAACGTTTCAGACGTCTATTACAGTCAAGTACCTACATCAAACACGAACCAATCGAAAATCATGAATTACAGAAAAACGTATCATTACAAATGAAATCTGCTCTATAAGCAGTTGATAATTGTTTTATTTTGAGGCTAAGTTAACTAATTAATGCCCTCATCGAACAAAGACTACTAATGACTTCACACCTGTACTACTTACAGTGTTAAAACCTCTAGCTTACAGCAACAGTTCAGCTCTGTGGCTTTCATATCTTCAAATATTCCAAACACATCGCACAACAGTGAAGTTTGATCGGCTTATCAGATGATTAAATAAGACCTTGTCACCTACTTTGATATCATTTGATGTCAACATTTCTCAATTTTAAGATAAGATAAAATTTTGATAGTAAATTCGAAGATAAAATGGGAAGCTTGTAGGTGACATAGTTGATTATCTGCTGAGAATATCTTGCATATGTATATTCAACATTGACCACATCAATAACAATTACACAATTGAAATTAGGAAAGGTTTATTGGTATAGGAAAATATGCTTACCTTAGAAATCACATTCACGTTTAACCCAATAAAACTAACACTCCACTAATATCAAATTCTGGATATTTTCTAACTGCTTGCACTGTTCAATACAAGCAAAACCAATAAAAAATCTTATCCTGAACAAATTATCAAATCAAGTTGAACAAGTAAGTCAAAAGCATCTAATCTTATTTCTCCTTTTCTGTGACTTTTTCAAACTTAGCTTCTCAAATTACTTTTCATCAAAGCTAAAATAGAGGTGATCTTCAAATGGGACTTATCCGACTTACTCTCTAGTACTTTACCCTTTGAAAAAAACCCAAAGAATGTAATGTAGCCATGAACACTGTGCCCTAATACTTTGTGATAGGATCATTCAGGCATACAAGCTGATTGTGCCTGGTTCTAAACCAGGATTAATCAAGTTGAAGACAGATTTCATCACTGCTTTCAAAGTTGAAACTGATAAGGTTGTCCAGGTAGCTGCAACTAAAAAATTAATTTAAATTGGTGACAGGATTGTTGAATTTTTTTTTGAATGTTCTGCTAAGCAGGTGAGATAGATTAGCTAGACTGTTAGATATGAATAAATAACCAGTCAGGGTATCAGTATCAAAGGTGTAGGGTCATTTATTGATAAATATTTAACACTTAATCCTTCAGATCTTTAGACTGAATAATAAGTAATTGTCAGACAAATATCTTACAGAAATTTAATACAATTCAATCGCAGTAAAATTACTGTGAATTTCTCACTAAAGCCTTTGTAATTGTGGGTATGTGATCTAAGTTAAAGGGCTGTTGATATCCACTGAAGTTTTTTCTCATTGTAAATAATATCACAGTGATCTCTAAATTGTATTACATTTTACAAAATTCTGACACAGAACAGTCTGGCATGTTTTTTGCGAGTTTTAACATGATATATTTGATAAGGTGACATTATTTTTGACATGTGGTTGTAGTGTTGTATTATTTTGATAATACAACCACTTTGAAGCTAATACTGACTGTCTGAAATCAAACCTCGAAGCTGAAAATGCATGCATATTTTATGCAAGATTGGTCAATTTCAGTATCCTGAAGCCATGTGGTAAGAACATGTTCTAAAACACAGCAGTCTAATTGGCACTATGACCTTTACCAATTTACCCCTGAGGAAAAAAAGGGCATCGTTAAGATATTTTAAAGACATCTCAAAAACATCTGGGCAGCAAATTGGGGTAGATAGTACATTAGGTCAGCAAAACCTAAACATATCATGTGCCAGGGAAAAAACAGTTAACATATGCCATTTATTCCCTATTTTATAGAGACAGGAAATGGAGAAAACATTTTGTCATGTTTCCAAGAGATAGAATTCTTTTTCAGGCCAGTGAAACACCACTATCATCTTCTCCATGACCTATTTGAGGGCTACATGTAAACACTAGTATATATGAATAATGGCCTCTTCATGAGCACCTCGTTATAGCACTACTAAAGCAGGCTTACTCATAAACCTCACTATAGCATGACAAGCATGGGGTATGTGCCAGAAGTTTAGTAGTCTCTCAATAGCTGGGGTCATACAGTCAGGTTAATCTTGGTTTCAGTGAAAACGTATTGTTGCAACTGTTTTTCATTGATTGATGATGCATATTTAAGAAATTTGAAACTTCCATATCTGGTTTAAAACAATGATAATGCACAAAATTAAAAACCGTTATAACTTATTTATACAGAATGTATTTTTTTATATGAAATATGTTATTATAAAGCAACAAATCCAGCATACCAACATTGTTTACTTTAAGGCACCTCTGTAAGTGCAAAGACCTGCACTTGATAACACGAAACACAAAAATAGAGGAAATTCTGAAAGCCTTGACCTTTGCTCAAGTTTTAGTGCTCTCCCTTGGAAAAAAACTCCCCCACAAGTAAATAGGGGCCTATGTTCAACTCACAGTGTTTGTAAGCATGTAATGATCTGTGAAATAAGAGTGTACTATCCGACACGCTTCATGCCCTCAGCGAATGAATCTTTCAGTGCTTTGATGGAGCCATTAAGCAGTTGTCACATGACTTAATCAGGTGTCACATGACCTGTTTCTATGCTGCTGGGGCCATCTGTCATAATCATGATGCACTGAGATTGACATGATGTGTCGATTCAATACCGATATTTCACACGTATCACGTTACATCCCAGAGCCCATCATGGCTCCACCATAATGGCGTTGTAACAGGTAATCAAGTTAATATTTAATATGCATTTAGGAGAATGAAGTTACTGACTTTCCAACATTAATACTGGCTATTGAAAATCCTCTAACTTATTAAAATTAATGGCAGCCGACACTCCATGCTCTCTTTTCGACACAACTGTACGTTGTGTGTTCATTTGGGGTGAAACGTATGGCTCGGGGAACTGAAATACACCTCAAACATATGGAAAAAACAACACAACAATTTCAAGCATTGCTGGTACATGAAGAACAGGAATCCCAAATTTGATAAAATACAAAGTTGAGTAAACATTTTTCCATGTAGAGAAACCAATATGTCCAATCAAGCTAATTTGTTGAGCATATCGACAAGCAAAACTACAATTCCTGAGCACACCTATAATCTTCTCTTATGACTTACTCAAAGAAATCAATCAAGAACAAACCAATATCATGGGTGGGGCCCATTCAAGCTCAGATTGAGAAAAACAGAAGGCCTTCTGTCTTCTAATGACCACAACTAG